TTTAAGTGTGTATGTGCCTTATGTTAAAGTACGTCGTAGGCTATCAGAATTACATAGCATGCAAACTCGATATCACACGACAAACAAACCTTAAATGTACATATTTTTATTTTGTAAATAAAAAAGACTTCTGCTGTCGCGTTAAGTGCCCTTGCACATGTGTACTCAACGTCGACGAAAAATACACGGATTGTAAGTTTGACGTCATATTTCCATAAAGGCGCTGCAACATTATATCACTGTTCACATTAAATAGAAACGTTATGACTTACAAGTTCATTTTTCTGCTTTTGATGGGATACATATGCCATTAAAATAGTTATTTCCTAATCAAACGTTCTCCATTTTGTAATGTTCTATTTTCTAATTTCAGAATTCACCAAGCACATGGCACCTAACCTTTAGCCGAAACGAGTATGGGAATCAATTTATCAATTATTTGTAAATGATAATCAGCATGCACGAAAAGGACTTGGAATGGTGTTTTAATTCTCGTAACAAAATGTAAACTGGAGATTCAAAAAACAGCTGCGGCTATAATCATGGACATACGGTGAGATGTCACGTGCCTGTGACGTCACAGTGTTTTTGTTCTGGTGGATTTCAAGACCATGTGAATGTGTTCACGTCATAGTTTGAGTGACCCCATGTGATCAAAACAGACATTCTGTGACACGGGTCACGTTTGATATAAGGAATTAAATCGTCTCATAAGGCATGTTAGTACCAGTCACGTCATTAAAACGTTTTCTTTAATCAGGTGTACACGTAAGGCAATCAAGTTCGGAGTGAGTAAATGAGCGTGAATCATGCTGTGAGTCAATGAGTTTGAATATCAATCACAAAATGATTCAGTAAGCGTGAATCATGCTCTGATTTAGTAAGTGAGCGTGAATCATGCTGTGAGTCAATGAGTTTGAAAATCAATCACAGAATGATTCAGTGAGCGTGAATCATGCTCTGATTTAGTAAGTGAGGGTGAATCATGCTGTGAGTGAATGAGTTTGAAAATTAATCTCAGAGTGAGTCAGTGAGCATTAAATCAAGCTCTGATTGAGGCATTGAGGGTGAGTCATGCTGTGAGTCCAGTGGTGAGTCAATGAAAATTAATCTCAGAGTGATTCAGTGTGCTCTTTTGGTCAGTAACTGATATTTAAGCTTTGACTAAGACATTGAGCAAGTAAATCCAACGTTGTCGGAGTCAGTTTTCACAATATTCAAAATCGAAGTGAATCAGCTGGGTCTGTGATAATTAATTTTGAGTAAAAAAGTGAGCATGAGTCAACGCTAAGTTATGTGTTTGAATCAAGCTCAAAGCGACTCAATGAGTGTGAATTGCGATCTGAGTGACTCGATGAACCTGATGCAAGCTATGAATGACAAAATTAGCGTGTGTAATTAATTGCTGAGTGCATAACAATAAATATCTGAATGAGTCAATGAACATGAAAATTAACTTCTGAGTGAGTCCATTAGCGTGATATTTGAGCTTTGAGGTAGTCAATTGGTAGGATAATTAAACTTTACTGAAATAGTGAACATTAAATTTTAAATTATTTATATACGCATTTATTCGACCTTTTATACTTAAAAAGAAATACTTAATAAATGTATGTTTACACATAAATGCAGTTTTGCCATCATTTGGATAGGAAATATTCGAAAACATATTGTTGTGGGATTTATTTCAAATGTAATGACAATGTGCAGTCTGAGTTTGTTTCTTATTGCAATCCGCACACTTCACACAAATGATTATTATCAACAGAGATTGCAGTCGACACATTCACTTTAAGAGGGAAATGATAATCTTTCGGACGTATAAGATCCGGCCGTAGTATCGTATAATGGATTAATTACGCGATCATTAATTTTCGCGATTTTGACCAAAAATTAGAAAAAACATTAACGCGGATTGCAATTTTGCGATCTAGATTCGCGGTGTTTTTGCACAGAGATGAGACACTCGACATATAAAATGTCAAATAGTTAAATAAATATTTTCGCAATCAGGTTATTGACTTCCGACATCGCGAAAATATTATCCCCGTGGAAATATCCGGCTATACGGTATTATTACTATGATTACTAGAAATACGAATTAAAGGAATGTGTCGATGCCAAAAGCCAAAGTAAAAATAGATACCGCCATTTCGTCCATTTTGTTTGTTTGTGTTTTACGTCCCATTAACAGCTACAGTCATTTAAGGACGTATCAGGTTTTGGTGGTGGAGGAAAGCCGGAGTTCCTGGAGAAAAACCACCGACCTGCGACCAGTACCTGGCGACGGTTTGTTCTCCTTTCTCCCACTTTTTTCTGATCAAAGGAATTATATAAACACTGGAAAACAATAGAGGTGTCATTATAGTCTGTTCTGGTATAGTACAGGTAGATTATTTACCTGTATTTACCTGTTCACCAATAGGAAATACTGTGTTAGGTATAGGAATATTTAACAAATATATTTCCTGATTTTCGTAATATTTACTGGAATTAATATTTCATATTAAATCAATTTTATACATTTTTACTATACATTTACATGTATGTTATATATATATTTTAATATGAAATAGGCACTGCCTATAAGCGAGCGCACATAGTTCGGTAACCTTTGTAATGATAGTGTAGATCTCGGCGCCTGCAGCGCCTCAGCTAAGGGCTTGAAGGTTACAAAACGAACAGAATCCCTCCGTAGGACAAAGGTGCGTCAAATATTCTGACATGAAAAAGAAATAAATGGTGGTTATAAAAAATAGAATCTTAATTAAGAAAACCTGCCAGATATTTCATGTAGGCCTTTTTGTTGTTACTAATTTACTATTATTTCAACACCTTTGTCAATATATCGCCTGATCCCTTTTAGCATCAAAATTTGTCAAGACAAAATGATAGAAATAGGATCTAATTTGCAATGTTTGTTAAAAAGTCAAAGTATTGCAATGCGATCCATAGTCACTCACCGGTAAGAATTGCTATCTTTAACAAACAGTACACTTATGTCAGGAAGCATAGGTCACAGTGAGGTTATAGTGATCTACTTCACTCCTCCATCCCAAGATGTCCTTGTTCTTCAAATCAGGTTACTCAGGGTGAAATAGTATAGAATATATGCCCCGGACAAACATTTTTAAATGCAAAGGTCAAGGTCAAGTCATTGATCACAATGACCTAATTATGTACACTCTGACATCCCAAGATGTCCTCGTACACCAAATCTAGTTACTCCAGGTAAAAAAGTATAAAAGATATGCCCGGACGAACATTTTCAAAAGTAAAGGTCAAAGGTCAAGTCATATGTCACAGTAACCTAAACCTTACGCACCAAATCTGCATGGTTACTGCATGTGAAATAGTATAGATGATATGCCCCAGGACAAATATTTTCAAATGTAAAGGTCAAAGGTCAAAGCATAGGTCACAGTGAGGTCATACAACTGGAGTGACCTTCTAAATTCTTGCACCGTGCACGCTGCCATCCAAAGCTGTCGTTGTTCACCAAATCTGGTTACCCCAGGTGAAATAGTATAGAACATATGTCCCTCTAATTGCCTAGCCCGATGCCCCGAACTAGTAAAAAATGTCTATGTTCATTATGAAGCATGAGTTGGGCTTGTATATTTTTCTTCAAAATCAACCTGTAAACTATAGTTCACTTATTACTATGTTGTATATCTTAGCCCTGTCCCTTGCATGAGTGCATTTCTGGGTGGTGACAGACCTGGCTGGGGAAAACTTTGGTATTTGTCTATAATAATAATAATAATTTGAGGTTCCTATATACCGCTTTATCACAACCTAGTTCGTAGGTCATCTTAAAGTGATTCATAAATTATTATCCTTGGTTATAGGACCTTTGCAACCAGCCAATATCATTCTCAACTCCCTGGGGACCATACATCCGGTGCTGCCATTCCGGCACTCACAGTTAGCATTCTACAATTATAGCACTGTCCAACCACATACTCATTTATAGCTGAGTAGACTGGAACAAGCGGAGCAAAGTATCTTGCTCAAAGATACAACACAGTGCCGTGCCGTGACTCGAACCCGCAACCCCTCGGTCACGAGCCCAGTGTCCTACCACTAGACTACCGTGCCTCCGGATTGCCAGTAGGTGTTTTTCATTATAGGACTCTTATTTCAACCATTTCACTGTTATAAGGTCACCATGCTGGGGTGACAGGACCCTGGGACCAATCACAGTTAGTATGTGTATTAATCTTTTTATGACCTGCAAAGAGCATGGTCATTTCTAAGAACAGACAGACAAATAACAAACAACTGATGAATACAGCATCCTTCATTTACAAGCTTTACCTGGTCTGTAGGTGACATGCAAAGGCAATAAAATTAGCTCAAAGATGATTCTCAATCAGTATTAGGTAGCTATGGTACCCATTTTGTAACTCTAAACCAGCATTTAATTTCTCAATATTCCAATATTGGAGAAGCAATGGCTGCAATATCCATTCGTTTAATTTTGAATAACCAAATAATAAAAAATTTAATCATTTACATTTTAATGTAAGAAAGCATTATATCGTGAACATATTTTGAACCTAAAGCATACCACTGTACCAGTATCTTCAGAATCCAGATGCTGCAATAGATATAAACAGGACCATTGCAATTACAAAACAGAAGTGATAAATATACAAGTGATCTCACCAAGTTATACAAGTGATACATGGACCTGAGTTGTAAAGCAATTATGTTATTTGTTGTAGTGATGTAAAATCGCACAAAAACAAAAAAAAGTTCATATAATCCAAAAAAAATCATACTAGGAGTGACCAACATATATTAATGACATCATTTATGGTGGGTACATAATTGTCTGACATACAGTATATATCGCTAACAGTTTTCGAAAAAAAAAGGATATAGTGGAGGAATGAATGACACGGGGGTAATGAAATAACAATTTTAGATATAGCGACTTAGGACCTTTCCATCCATGAAGAGTGTTTGATTCTAGCATACCTGGATCTGAAGAAGAAGAATGATGAAATTTCAGCCATTTTCACTCTTTGGCCCCTCCCTATAGGCCCTAGGGAAGGGCCAGGTTCTTAATTTTCATACCATAAAAATTCAGTCACAT